CTCAGGACTGGACAGGGACATTCCATTCTCTAGGCCTAGGTGATCTCAGAAATCAGACCCCCATCTCTAGACATGAACAGGGTGCCCTTTCCAGGCCATACCCTCTGGGTTCTACCAAGGTCATGAGCAAAGCAGCCCCAAAGATTTTGGGTGGTTCCTCCTTGCATAGGGAACACACACCCTAATTCTTTCCCTGAGCTATTCCTGGACTAATTTTAGGATTATTTTAAGATTATTTTCTGCTTGTAAACCACTGACAAATTGTGACACACTTCCCCAGGACTCCTTGCCCCCAGAATAGGAAAAGCAGCAATTAAATCCCCTAGACTGAAGACTCAGGGGTCTTCTCACTTGAATTCCCCCCTCTGCTGCCAGAGGGTCTGTTCTCCCTCTTATACTCACATGTTTTTTAGTGTTTCTCCCTGTCAATAAACTTTATCCTGTTGGTTATCCACAGTGCTCTGTGGTTTCATTCTTCAAATCCAAATATCAAGAACTGGCCTTAGAGAGAAATTCTGGCAACAGTGGTATGAGGTTTGCAAAGTGGAAACCAGAGAAGGAGTTGTCACTAACTTCCTGGGCAGAGGACTCAACCCTCTAGAATGATGTTTCTCAACCTTTTTATCTCAAGGCACATTTGAACCTATACTTAAACTTCTACAGCACACTTGAATTCTGTTAATCAAAAAAGAGTATAAAAAAAGAAAAGAATATATGTACTGTGCTTTGAATTTCTTTCAAAATATGTTGTTGATTTTCTTTTTCAAAAATAATGTAATTAGTGGGGCACAGTGGCTCACTAGCACTCTGGGAAGCCAAGGCAGGGGATTGATTGAGCTAAAGTTAGAGACCAGCCTGACCAATAGCAAAACCCCTCTCTAAAAATAGCTGGGTATTGTGGCATGCCTCTGGAGTCTCAGTGCCTTGGAAGGCTGAAGCAAGAGGATTGCATGAGCACAAGAATTTCAGGTTGCTGTGAGCTATGATGCGATGGCACTTGACCAAGAGTGACAAAGTAACACTCTATCTCAAAAGAAAAAAAGAAAGAAAGAAAGAAAAAGAAAATAGGTAATTAACAGTCTTTAAAAATTTTCATGCACACCAGTTGAAAATCACTATTCTAGTGGCAGATAATGAAGAGAAGCTGGTGATTGACCTCAGAAAGTCTCAGAAAGAACCAGAAAGGGAGGCATCTATTACTGACTCTGCAAATGGCAGGGCGGGGGAAATGCATAGCACAAGAAACTAACAAAGCAGGTCTGGGGTTAATATATATTTTTTTGGATGATATAGTTTTATTCTGTTTTAATACAATGTAGATTAACATGTGCAGTACATTCTTCCCACAGGTTCATAGCCTACTTTCAGTGGCACTGAGAAATTTTCCTCCCATAGGCCTGACTTGCATGTATGAATAGACCTTACCATGCTATTTTACCTGGAATGAAACCATAGGAGAGGTTTGCTCAGGGGGAGTGTCCTCTTATCTAAAGTTTTGCTGCAAATACGTGCTTAATATAAAAGCACTTGGGAAAGCACTGTCAAAAATTCAGTGGTTAGTTTTACTCTCAAAAGAATGTGAGGCATGGCTTGGCACCTGTGGCTCAAGTGGCTAAGGCGCCAGCCACATACACCTTAGGTGGCGGGTTCTAATCCGGCCCAGACCCACCAAACAACAATGACGGCTGCAACCAAAAAATATCCGGGCGTTGTGGCAGGCGCCTGTGGTCCCAGCTACTTGGGAGGCAGAGGCAGGAGACTCGCTTGAGCCCAGGAGTTGGAGGTTGCTGTGAGCTTTGATGCCATGGCACTCTACCCAGGGTGATAGCTTGAGGCTCTATCTCAAAAAAAAAAAAAAAAAAGAATGTGAGGCATAGATATGTCAGCTGCACTTTCAGTTTCTTAGGGTTAGTGATTACCCTTCCACAAATTTCACATAACAGAGATTTTCCCCAGAGATATTAAACTTGCAAGGCTCTAGATCCTAGATACCGGAACCAAAAAAGGACAGAATGAGGCTTTATACTGGAAAAGGAAGATTAAGGAAAAGTGCTGCCAAAAGCTCGGCACTTGTCCATGAGTCCACATCAGAAGCAAGGAGGCCAGTGATTGAGGAGAAGAGGGAAATTTATTATGCTGCCAGCAAAGCAGAAAAAATGTCCAACTACCATCTCAAAGTACCAAATTCCTGTATAAAAGCAGAACAACAGAGCTTTAAAGGCAGGGCCCTCAATTCTAGGCTATTGTCATTTGACGACAATCAATGTTTGTAACTGTCCCAACACTGCTGGAGACAAAGCTGTGACTTGCAGCCGCCTGGGAGGCCCACCCAGACCTTAGCCAGGCCACCTGCCCATCACTTCAGCTGAGCCACCTCCTGCAGCACAGAGAACAGAAGACATTCCCCTGTCCCTGAGCGGGGGATGCAGACCTCAGTTCCCAAAAAGAGGAGGGGCAGCTTTAAAAAAGACAGAAAACACTTCTGACATTTTTGCAGGCCATTCCTTCTGTTACATATTCCCAACTCTCAATTTTATACGTCCATACCTATGGGAGAGGGAGAGTCTACTCTGTTATAAAAGTAAGTGAACTTTAACTGTTAGTTTACACCCCAGTGAAAGATTAAAGAGTCTCTCCTAGAAAAGAATTAAAGCACTCCAGAGAAACAAAGTTACTTATATTAATATTTGGTATATTAACAACTGTGAGGAAAAAGGGAAAATGTCCAGAAACTTTGCTGAAAGATCAACTCACAATAAGGCACGTTAGTAAGAGAAAGCAATTACAAATTCATTTGTCATGTGCATGGAGAGGATCACAGAGCTATCACCCAGTATCCCACTGGGGTCCAGACGTTTATACACCCTCACTTTAGAGGGAGGGGCTACCTGGGCGCCTTTTCTCAGGACCTCCCAGAGCCATGTATGCTAGGCATCAAATATATTGAGCTCAGAAGAAACCTCTTTAAATTATTTTATATAACTTGGAGTCTTTCCCATTAATAAAAGAAAAAAATTCCTAAAAATGAATATCCAAGTGAAATGAACTCTGCTGGTTGTCAAAACACAGCAGTCAGAGCAGCAACAGGCCAGAAACAGCATCAACAAATACCAGGGAAGTTATTTTCAAAATTTGTTTACTTAATATTTAACACTGAAAACAAATAGGAGGGCCATTAGGGAGGCTTTCTGCATTCCTCCACTTAAGCAATTAGAATCTGTAAGTGTTATACAGATAAATTACTCATCTGGTCCTCCCACACAGCGGTTTGTTCATACAGTAAATATGAAAGCACAGCTCTGCCCTGCAGGTTGTTTTACACGGGTCTGTCTAGATGGGAAAGGCATAGAGGGTAAGGACAATTGCAAAGTGCCTGATTAAAGTGTGTTACTTAGCT